TGCTCTGCCTGATCATGAGTAAACTTTCTTTTTATTGCCTATGAATAAGACTGTGGTGTCTTTATTCTTTTAGGAGAGATTCATGGGGTCTTACCAGAAAAATATTCGAACACATTTCAATCTGGACAAGCCAGATTGAACTGTGTATTGTCTTAAGAAACTCACACGAGTTTGCAACTAGTTTTCTGCTGTGCCTGAGAAGGGAAATGTAAACTCTGCTAGGTAAAGGAACCTGCTAGTGCAAGTTAGGGAGGATATTAATAAACAATATATCCTCTCCTGCCACCCTGAACATTCCCATATAGTTAGTGTAGACCAGTAGCCGTGGTGAAGGAATGGGTTTCTGAGCAGTCATTTTAAAACTGACTCAACCCCCCCTTTTCTTGGCATTTCTAAAATGCTTTAACTTGAGCTGTTGAGCAAATGCATAACAAGAACACAGTTGCATGAACAAGGCTCTCTCCTTTATCAGTCTGTGACAATAAGGCTGGCCTTGTCCACTCTAAAGTGGAACAGAGATGACACTCTAGGTCTTATCTTACCACAACCCTGACGCACAGACCTAAGTCCGGGAACAAAGCCAGAGTGCGTTCTCGGAGATGATGACCTCTTCCTCCAAGATAAGAGTAGGAAGAGGAAGATCCTTTTATGGTCAGAAGTACAGGAAGGAAGATCCTTTTATGGTTGAGAATACCAGAGCAGGAACATATGTGATGTCAACCTGCGTACATAGGCTGACGTGGTTGGGTTCCTAGGGGAGGAGGATATATATACTGCATGAAACCTCTCATTTCTTTGGACTTGCTGTGGACTCACCACGCAAGTGCCTTCTGCTATCCGGAGAGCAGAATAAACTCTTTCTTTGAACCAACCTTGGTGTCATTTTACTTCCTTCCTCCTGTCCCGGAGCAACGCAGACCCAATCGGTGAACTCCAATAAGGCTACAGTGGAATAGAGTTATGCAACTTGTCATATAAATAAATACTTTGGAGAAGAACATGAAAAGGCGAGGTGTTTATTCCTTCAAGGGAATTCACCAATAGAGAGCTGGACTGCTGCTGTGAAGATGCAGGAAGACTTTCTGGGTAACTCAGCTGCAAAAGGAACCCCAAAGGCTTGGAGCTAACATACTAACAACCCCACCAAGCAGGTCCTGAGCACAAGAGCACTCTCCCCTCCTATGGCTTCCAGCAGCTGGTATTTAGAAGCATTTCTGCCTCGTATACTTTAATATCTGACACAGCCCTAAATGACCTGTGAGCTCCTGTTTGCTAAGCCAATCTGCCTAGGAGCTGGGGTTTCATGTGCAGCATTGCTTAGATCAAACAGCTGAGGTTCTGCAAGACTTTCAAAGGAGCTCATCTGTCTTGCAAAGATCTCTGCTAGCAACATTTGCTCTTGACTCAGACTACCAGTACTATTGTTAAGGATACTTGAAAGCAGGGGCGGGAGAATCCTGTGTTGACCTTGGACAACTACTCTGATGCTCCTGGGGGGCACATAGCGCCCCCATCTTTTTATCCCTTCTGCTCCAGCACAAATCCATTTCCATGCCTAGACGGGTCTGATTAAGTTGAATCCTGCGATGCTGCTCCTGAAGTTTTGATGGATACGGGTGCTCCTTGCTGGTGATGTATGTACTGAGACCTGCAATCTTCATGGAAGGCTGCACTTCCAAACATGATGCCTGCCACTTATTGATCGACAGGCTGGCTGAGGAGACTCAGCACCTTTCTCCCCATCTCTCCCAGACGCTCGTCCTTGAGGCCACTTGCTGAAGACAGCAAATAGAGGCTCCTTGTGATGATGAACTGACCCTTCAACGGTATCCAGGAACATCTATACCCATCAAACAAACAAAAATTATTCCATGTCTTACTGCTCTCAGCTTCCTTTCCCCAGCCTAGCTTTCCTTTCTGCCATTCCCTGTTGGTGGCCCAAGTTAAAACATATGTTCTCTAGGGTTGGAGGGAGGAATTGAATTTGATTCACATTTAAAGGCTGTTCTGGGTTTCAGGCTGGAGATGTTCCCAGCCCAACCTGGTGGTGCTGGGGATTGAACGGGACCTTCTGTGTGTAGCAGTTCAGTTCAGCCCCAGTCCCGTCATCCTTGACCATTGGCCATCTGGGCTAGGGAGCTGTAGTTCAACAGTGTCAGGACGGCAACTCTTTGGTTATCCCTGTGCTAAGTCACACTCCTCAAACTGATTGCCTTATTCTCACACTACATAAGATCATAAGAAGTGTCCTGCTAGATCTGGCCAATGGCCCATCTAGTCCAGTATCCTGTTCCCAGTGTGGCCAGCCAAATACTTGTGAGGAACCAGCAAGCAGGACCTGAGCACAACACTGCTCTTCCCTTCTGTAGTTTCCAGCAACTGGCGTTCAGTAGCATTGTTGTTGTTGTTGTTTAGTCATTTAGTTGTGTCCGACTCTTCGTGACCCCATGGACCAGAGCACGCCAGGCACTCCTGTCTTCCACTGCCTCCCACAGTTTGGTCAAACTCATGCTGGTAGCTTCGAGGACACTGTCCAGCCATCTCGTCCTCTGTTGTCCCCTTCTCCTTGTGCCCTCCATCTTTCCCAACATCAGGGTCTTTTCCAGGGAGTCTTCTCTTCCCATGAGGTGGCCAAAGTATTGGAGCCTCAGCTTCAGGATCTGTCCTTCCAGTGACCACTCAAGGCTGATTTCCTTCAGAATGGAGAGGTCTGATCTTCTTGCAGTCCATGGGACTCTCAAGAGTCTCCTCCAACACCATAATTCAAAAGCATCAATTCTTCGGTGATCAGCCTTCTTTATGGTCTAGTTCTCACTTCCATACATCACTACTGGGAAAACTGCATCCAATCATGGAGGTGGAGCATAGCTAGCAGGCCTAGTAGCCATTGATAACTTTCTCCTCCATGAATTTGTCCAACCTCTTTTAAAGCCACCCAGGGTGGTGGCCATCACTCTCCCTTTTATCTTCCAGTATTCAGCTTCACTGGACATTCATGAGTTCCACTGTTATGAGACATGGAGAAAAACTGTTGTGCTGGTCCCGGGGGGAAGGTTACCGTTGGCGTGGTCAAAGTCCGGTCCTGGGTCACGAGTCTGGAAACAGTTCACAAAGAGTGAGGCGGAGTCCGAAGCAGGGAGCCGGGCGGGGCCAGGAACTCTGGAAGGGCAGGTCTGGGTTCGGGCAGGAGCAGGTATTCAACGACGTTGCTCCCACAACCTGGGACCGGGCTGACTGGCCTTTATCTTATCTGAGGCCAGGGGTGGTCCCAGCCCCTAGGAGACCCACCTCTCCCGGCCTTAAGGCAAGCACTCCTCCTGGGAGAAACCAGTTCCCTCCGCCTCTCTGCCCTGAGCCTCTGCAGCTCAGGAGAGGCTGGGGAGTTACTGGACCCAGGGGAGACTCATCTTCCTCTAACAGGGCCGGGAGAGGCGCACCTGTAGGCACTGTGTCCTCAATCACCTCCGGAGCTAGAGTGGAATCACCTGGTGCCTGCTCCTGAGGATCCGGTACAGGTGCAGGCGCTTCAGATCCAAGGCCCCGCCCCAGCTCAGCCGGCCCTGGAGGCGGGGACTCCTGTGCAGGCTGGGGTTCCTCCAGTTCAGCCTCTGAATCGGATTCCCAGGCCATCACAACTGTTTTCCATCCACTTTCTCCATGCCATGCATCTTTCTACAAACTTCCAACATGTCATGTCTTGCTCACCTTTTCTCTAAACTATAAACGCTGCAAGCTTTCCTCAAAGGAGAAAGACCTTGAAAGTAGAGCTCTGATTTCTGCAATTTGAAGAGGGATATGGAGAATATTGGGACGCGGGTGGAGCTGTGGGTTAAACCACAGAACTTAGGACTTGCAGATCAGAATGTCGGCAGTTCGAATCCCCGCGACAGGATGAGCTCCCGTTGCTCAGTCCCTGCTCCTGCCAACCTAGCAGTTCAAAAGCACGCCAGTGCAAGTAGATAAGTAGGTACCGTTCTGGCGGGAAGGTAAACGGTGTTTCCGTGCGCTGCTCTGGTTCGCCAGAAGTGGCTTAGTCATGCTGGCCACATGACCCAGAAGCTGTACGCCGGCTCCCTCGGCCAGTAAAGTGAGATGAGCGCCGCAAACCCAGAGTCGGTCACGACTGGACCTAATGGTCAGGGGTCCCTTTACCTTTATGGAGAATATTGGACTGGTGGAGCGGAGGTGCTTATTGTAGCCCTGCAAGTTCTATCAAGCTAGTGGTTACCATGCTTGTCTCCAAAATGTCCAGATTCAAGGTGCATTCTGGGAGAACTGCTAACAATGGTGACTGCTGCAGACCACATTGCCAGTCAGCCTTAGCTCAGGTCATGCAGGCATGATCCCTTGAGAAAGTCCCCATAGCTATTCTCTGTTGAAGACTATGGGGACAGCAATGTGATTTAAACAAGGCGAAGGATGTCAGGATACAAAACTTGTTGATAGGACTCGTAAAATCCACCACCATAATTCAAGCACTGACCTGGCCTGGGGAGATAACCTCAGTCTTGATTGGGTCCTAAGTGAATAGAATCAAACTTGCTGATAAATTCTTACCCAGCAATTTCATGCCAACATATTGCCCTTTGAAGTTCTTTTGTTGGGGAATGATGACTGCAAGGCTACCAGTCTTCCACAAAGGGACTTCAAAGGGGAAGACCAAACCGAGTCCCTTTGAAGTATTTTTGAAAACTAGATTGCATACACTGTCACATGCAGTGGCATATCAAAGCACCGTTCAGTGGTTTTCAGAGTTGCAGATGAACATGGCTTGGCCCCAAGTGGCTGACGGTCACTAGAAGATGACCACTTAACCTCCAGCCTCTAAGAAGGGGAGAATCTGTATCCCATTTTGAATGGGACATGAAATATTATACATGAAAGAATGAGAAGTGCAAAGTCTGAAACTTTGGAGACCCCTTGCTGGCCAGTGCAGACATTACTGATCTCATGGAACAAGCATCTGACTCAGTATAAGGAAGCCTCCTATGATAGGTGAAGGGCTGTAGCTCAATGGTAGAGCATCTCCTTTGCGTGCAGAAGGTTCTGGGTTCAATCCTTGGGATCTCCAGGTAAAGCAGTCAGAATAAATATTGAGCTAAATGGACCAATGGTCTGGCAGCAGTGTCGGGGCGGAAATATGTGGTGGTCTTGTAAGATTGTAAAGATTGTAAATCTTCTGGGAAATGATTTATAACAAATGGAAAAAAATGCCTAAAATAACTTTTTTGGGCTCAACAACTTTCCCGTCTGGATTTTCACTCTTTGAAATATGGCAATCCTCTTAAAGCAGCACCGGGCACCTTCGTTGCATATCTTTAGGCACCAGATAGAAACATTCCCCTTTTCCCAGGCATTTGGCTAATTAAACTGGGGGTATTGTTTTTGTTTGTTATTATGTTGTAATTTTTGCATATTTATATTGTAAACCACCCTGTGATCCTTGGATGAAGGGCAGTATATATATATTTAATTAATTAATAATACTGCATTAGATATCAAATTCTCATGTAATTACCAATTCCTTTATCATTTTCCCCTCTCTATTCCTTTCTCAAATCCTGCCTTTTTGTTTATAATACTTTGCAAAATATTCCATTAAAGGCTTCCATTCTTCTATAAAAAGTTCATCATTTTGATCTCTTAATACGGCTCTCAGCATTGCCATTTCTGCGTAGTCCATAACTTTTAAAGGCCATTCCTCCTCTGTGCGCTCGCCCCACTTCTGATTCCCCCCCCAGCAACTGGAATCCCAAAGCATACTGTCTCCAGCAGTGGAGGAAGAATATAGTTGTTGTGACAAGCAGCCATGGAAAGCCTTATCCTCTATGAATGTGTCTAATCCCCTTTTACAGACATCCAAGTTGGTGACCATCACTGCCTCCTTCTGGAATGAGCTTTGTAGTTTAATCATGTGTTGCATGGTTAGCCCAGAAATGGAAGCAAGAAGAAATTCCGACAAAAGAAGAATGGCAGACAAAATTAATGGACTACGCAGAATTAGACAAAATGGCTGGAAGGATTTGAAACCAGTGGGACCAGAGATTTACAGAAGATTGGAAGAAATATATGAACTATTTGAAGAGCAACTGTAATCAACAAATTATACTAGTAGGATTACAAGAAGTTTTGTAAGGAGAAATATATGAAATATTGCAAAATAGAGAAAGAAGAGAGATTAGTTATTTAAAGATAATAGTGAAAGTAAGAAGTGTATATTAAGTGATTAGATTGGAAAATGTTCAGATGTGATTGATGGAAGTCCAAAAAAATTGTATAAGATGTAAAAGTATGTTTAATTATTTGAAAATGATATGATAAAAAAACCTAATAAAAATTTATATAAAAATAATAATAGTCGTGTGTTGCATGAAGAAGTGCTTTGTCCCAAGTCTCCCAGCACTCAGCTTCATTAGATGGCCTTGGCTTCTAGCATTATGCGTGAGGGATTTCTTGAGCACAGGTGTAATCTGAAATCAAACAGGGTATTTCCACAAGTTCATGTGTGGCCGCATGGCGTTCAATGCGACAATCATTTTTCTTCTACTAGCGATCCTCATAATCAGGCAGGTTAAATGCCAGGCTTAATTAAGCCTTACGTGTTGTGTAATCAGTTGACAGAAGGCATCTCCATTGGTAAAAGAGCATCATTCGGTGTCCTTCCAAGTCTTATAATGACAACATAAGGGGATGTCTGATCACATCAGTGTCTCCCAACCTTCCAAGTCAATGCTATCCCATTCCATTCCTAGATACATTACTGGCAAGGCAAGCAAGTCAACTCTAAGAATAGACTCAGAGATGCAATCCACTATACACTTATCATAGAATGCTAGAGTAGGAAGAGACCCCAAGGGTAATCTCATGCAATCCCTTGCAATGCAGAAATCACAGCTGAAAAAACTGTAACAGATGACCATCCTAACTCTGCTTGAAAACCCCAAACGAAGGAGAGTCTTCTACTTTCGGAGGTAGTTCATTCCATGGTCAAATAACTCTTTGTGCTGGGCCCGGGGTAACCCGAGAACTGCAGTCCAGGTCAAGTCCAGAATCCGTAGGTTCCACTAGGAGTCAGTCCAATAGGGTCAAGGCAGGACATGAGGCAGGAAACCAGGCAAGGACAGGTACAGGATCTCAGACAGGGTCTGGCATACACCAATGTTGCTCCCGCAACCTGACGCAGGGTCCGACAGGCTTTTATCTCTGTCGGGGTAACTGCCGGTTCTGATCCCTTGGCGACTCACCTCCCTGTTTCACCCGAAGGCGAGCACTCCTCCCGCGAGTTCTACAGGTGTCTCCTTTTCTCAGACCCCAGTCTCTGCAGCTCTGGAGACGTCAGTGGATTACTAGACCCAGGGGCCGCCTCAGCCTCCCCTGACCAAACTGATAGTGGAGCAGCTGTAAGTGATTGCCTAGCTAAAGACAATGAGGTAATCCCCGCATCTGGAGCCAGGGCAGGCTCAGGCCCCTGACTCGGCCCAGCTGGTGCTTGTTGCAGGGGAACCTGTGCAGACTGGGGCTCTTCAGAATGCGGCCCTAGACTTGGTTCAGATGATGCCTGAAGCAAAGGATCCGGTGCGGACTGAGACTCCTCTGATTCCGAATCCGAGCCCAAGTCCCAGGCCATCACACTCTTACTGTCAGAAAGTTCTTCAACTAGAGCCAGGGCTTTCTCGGCTGCGGCTCCAATCTGGAGGAACGCTCTGTCACAAGAGACTAGGGCCCTGCGGGAGCTGACATCTTTCCGCAAGGCCTGCAAGACAGAGTTGTTCCACCAGGCCTTTGGTCAGGGCCCAGCCTGACTCCCTCCTCTGGCAACCTGCACAGAATTTTGCTCAACGGTTGCCATTAATTTGATTTTAATTAATTTTTATAATGAAATGTTTTTAGAATGTTGGATTATTTGATTGTTTGATTATTTGATTGTTGTTAGCCGCCCTGAGCCCGGCTTCGGCTGGGGAGGGCGGGATATAAATAAAATTTATTATTATTATTATTATTCCCAGTCAGAATCTATTTTCTTGTAATTTTGGATCCATTTGTTTGGGCCCTCCCCTCTAGAGCAGCGGAGGATAAGTTTGCTCCATCTTCCATGTGTCAGCCCTTCAGATATGTGAAGATGACACTCATGGAGGAGTTGCTCCAGAAGGAGGCAGTGATGGCCACCAGCTTGGGTGTTGGAGGAGAAGGCTTTCAACAGCTACTAGGAATGATGGCTCTGCTCTGCTTCCACAGTTGGAGGCAGCAATGCTTCTGAATACCAGTTGCTGGAGACCACAGGAGGGGAGAGGGCTCTTGTGATCGAATCCTGCATCTGGTTAGCCACTGTAAGAACAGGATGCTGGATGAGATTGGCCCTTTGGCCTCATCCAGCAGGATCTTCTTATGCTATTGAACTACAGCTCCCATCATCTCTTATTCTTAGCCCTTTAGGCAGGGGTTGATGGGCTTGGAGCTCAATAACACCTAAAGGGCATCACGTTGACTCTCCCTGGCCATGGGAGTTGAGGTATGACATGGACCACTGGCTTTCCCAACAGGCCAGGTGAACCATATTTGCCCCATGGGCCGGAGGTTCCTGTGTAGCAGGACTGATGAGATTCAGGGCCTGGAAAGGTGTGGCCTGCAGAGAATCTTGAGGGCCTGACAGAGACCTGGAGGGTCACAGTTGTGGACCTAAGGTTGCCCACCTCTGCTCTAGACAAATGACACTTGTCTTCTGGCTTCATTTCCTCAGAGAATATGGCACCTTCCTGTCTCTATCTTCTCTATCTGCTTGCACTTGCAGTGCCCTTGATGTGCTCCGCACCACAGACAGCATTTTGCTGAGCCAGCTTCCTGCCTTAGATTCTTATTTCCACCTTTTGCTATCCCCTAATGACGGAACTCCCCCCTGTAAACTGTGTATTTGGCAGGCTTTTCAAACCGCTAGCACTTGCTTCCTTAAACTTGCAAGGAGAAGTATCTGACAGCGACCAGACATCCTCCCTGTGGTTTCTGGATCACCTGGATCCCATAGGAGTCTTTAGGCTGATCTGTTTGGAGGAGAAGATTTCAATTCACTCTCTCAAACACACTCAATACCAAAAACCCATCTTAGATTACAGCCCTGCAATCATTAGTTTGCCTGTGGAACAGCAGGGCGCTTCCAGCTGCAAAGGATTAAAACAAGTAGCGCATGTATTTTTTTAAAAGGGAAACAAATTAATGCAATGGATGATCCCTAGCATTTTTCAAGTTAATATTTTAAAATATCATTATTTGCTTCGAGGGAATTATTCTAGCTGCTCGCTCCGATGGAGCAAGCTGATGAGCCACCAAACATTCTTAATGCCATATTCACCACTACCACTGGTAAACATTGTGGCAGAAATCAGCCTTTGCCAACCCATTCAACTAGATGTTTTGGACTACAACTCCCATCAGCACTGACTATGGGCTGTGCTGGCTGGGGCTGATGGGAGTTGTAGTCCAAAACATCTAGATGAATGCCAGGTTGGCGGAGGCTGTCATCAAAGAAATGTCTTTTGCTGCCTATCAAATTCAAACTTGCCACCACCATGTTTGAACATCCTGCACCAGCAGCTGGTATCAGGATGGAGCGGTGGATCTGCCACCTTCAGACCCAACAAGTGTCCCTATTTTCCAGGGACGTCCCTGATTTAGGGAAGCCGTCCCAGTTTCTGTTTTGATCCTGGAATGTCCCGCTTTTCCTTAGGACATCCCTATTTTCATTGGAGAAATGTTGGAGGGTATGGAGTTATCCAACTCCCCGAGCTGTCTGAAGGCAATCCTGTATAGGGAAGGTTTTTTTAAATGTTTAATGTTTTATTATGTTTTTTATATATGTTAGAAGCTGCCCAGAGTGGCTGGGGCAAACCAATAAGATGTAGGGGTATAAATAGTAAAATTATCATTTTGGAATGGGATGTCCCTATTTTCTTCAGAGAAATGTTGGAGGGTATGCACCTTGCCATTTCCTTTCTCAGTGTGAAGACAGAAGGCTGTAGAAGTGTATAGAATTATACATGCTTTGGAAAAAGTGTGTACAGAAAAGATTTTCTCCCTCTC